AAAGTTCGTTGTAAAATTACCATTTAAAGATGAATTTCCCAATAAAAAATATTTAGATTCGTCCAGATTTAAAGCAAAGAGGCAATATGAGCATATGGAAGCAAAATTGAGGAAAAATAAAGAAGTAGAAAAATCGTATAATGATGTTTTGAATGAGTATTTGTCATTAGGACACATGAAGCCTACCAATTCAAAAGAAATTTGTAACGATGGAAAATATTATTCATATTATTTACCACACCATGCTGTCTTTCGACCAGAAAGTACTAGCACAAAAGTGAGAGTGGTCTTTAATGGATCGAGTAAAACGAAAAGCTCGTATTCCTTAAATGATGTTTTGCATACAGGGCCAATATTACAAAATGATTTAGTATCTGTAATTTTAAATTGGCGCTTGTATAAGTATGTGTTTAACGGTGACATTGAGAAAATGTACCGACAGATCTATGTGCATCCTTCTGATCGGCAGTATCAAAGAATATTATTCAGGAAAGACGTTAATGAAGAAGTTAAAGATTATGAGTTATGCACAGTTACCTTTGGTATAAATTGTGCTCCTTATTTGGCGATTCGCACATTGTTGCAATTGGCAGAAGAGTCAAGTGAAAAAAGTCCAATTGCGTCTAAAATAATAAAAAACGAGCTATATGTAGATGATGTTTTGACTGGAGGTCATACTATTGCTTCAGCGCTAGAGGCGCAAAAACAACTAATTGATACATTGCATTCGGCAGGATTTCCGTTAAAAAAGATAACGGCAAATCATCCGAGTTTGCTTTCAAACGTCCGATCAGAGGATTTATTAAATGAAGAATTTTTGAGAATTGAAGATATGAGTTCAACAAAAACATTAGGTATTCGGTGGAATGCCATTACCGACTCATTTTCTTATAGTATGAAGTCACTAGAGGTGACTGGCCAAATAACTAAAAGGAAAATCTTGTCAACAGTTTCAAAATTATTTGACCCAGCAGGGTGGTTAACGCCTTTAATCGTACAAGCTAAAATTTTGTTGCAAGACCTTTGGTTAGAAGGCATTAATTGGGATGATAAAGTGTCATCATCCACATTGATTAAATGGAAAAATTTTGTGGAACAATTTTCAAAAATTGATTCAATACAAATCCCAAGATGGATTAATTTTTGCCTAGAGGGCACAATTCAAATACATGGTTTTTGTGATGCATCTGAGAAAGCCTATTGTGCTACAATATATATTCGTATGAATACAGAGAACAGCACAACTGTAAAATTATTGATGGCCAAGAGCAAAGTTGCGCCATTGAAAAAAATAAGTTTACCAAGACTAGAGCTTTGTGGTGCCGTATTGCTCTCATCTTTGGTAAAATATGTTGTCTCAAATTTGACTATTAAAAATTATTCTGTTCATTTATGGACAGATTCAACAATTGTATTGGGATGGTTGCAAAAACATCCATCCACATGGAATACGTATGTTGCAAACAGAACTGCATTAATATTTCAGAATGTTGAAAATGGTAAATGGAGACACGTTTCTACAAAGTGTAATCCAGCAGATCTTGGAACTAGAGGTTCCAGTACTGAAGATTTATGTAGTAATTCGCTATGGTGGAATGGTCCAATATGGTTACTTAGTACTGAAAATAATTGGCCAAAATCAAGTATAATTCTACAAGATCCACCAGAACAACGAAAAATAGTTGTTCATTGTGCACCAATTATTGATAAAGATAATTTGATAATAAACAAGTTTTCTTCTTACAACAAAGCATTGTGGGTAGTAGGATACATATTTCGTATGAAAAAGCGTAAAGAAAAAAATGAAAAGTCTGAGTTGTCAAATGGTAAGATTCTGTCACGCGATGAGTTAAATCATGCAAAATTGGTTCTTGTCCGAACAACCCAAATGTTTCATTATCCGCAAGAGTATAATGATTTAAGCAATTCGAAAGACATTTCACGTCAAAGCACATTGCGCGCACTAAATCCGTTTTTGGATAAAGATGGCATAATAAGAGTGAATGGTCGATTAGCGAACGCTAACATTTCCTATGATGAACGATTCCCAATAATATTGCCAAATTCGTCGCATTTCTGTAAAATATTTTTAGAATTCATCCATAAAACTATGCTGCACGCAGACATATCGTTAATGATGTCAACCGTTCGAAGCCAGTTTTACATTCCAAGTTTAAGACGGACAATAAAGAAAATTGTTCATGAGTGCTTGATTTGTACAAGATATAAACATAAGGTTAAATCACAGATAATGGCAGCACTACCTTTGGAACGAACGTCTTTCACTCTTCCTTTTACATATGTGGGAGCAGATTTCGCAGGCCCATTTCAGATTAAGGCAGGTTCTTTAAGAAATTCCCCTTACCAAAAGTCATATGTTTGTATATTTGTATGCTTTTCGACAAAGGCGATTCACCTCGAAGCTTGTTCAGCATTAACAAGTGATGCTTTTCTTGCGACATTTGCGAGATTCATAGGTAGACGAGGTTTGCCCAGATGTTTAATGTCTGATAATGGAACAAATTTTGTGGGGGCGAATAGTATACTTATGAGAGAATATCAAGAATTTCTTAAAAAATGCTCCAAAGAAGTATGTGAAAAGTACATAGTCAATGGCTTCGAATGGAAATTTATCCCTCCCAGTGCTCCACATATGGGAGGATTATGGGAAGCAGGTGTTAAAAGTTTTAAATCTCATTTCCAAAAGATAATGAAAGATAGAAAATTCAATTTTGAGGAATTTTCAACGATTTTAGTCAGAATTGAAAGTGTCTTAAATACGAGACCGTTAACACCGTTATCTGAAGATCCAGAGGATTTGGAAGCTTTAACACCAGCGCACTTTCTGAGAGGAGGGTCACTGATATTTGCTCCAGAAATGCCAACGGAAGATTTATCACTTATAAATCGGTGGGAAAAGATTAAAGCTCTTCACCACATGTTCAGCAAGAGATGGAAAAATGAATATATTCAAGAGCTGCATAAGCGATATAAATGGCAGTATCCCCAACGGAGTCTGAAGGAAAACGACATGGTTTTGATAAAAGATGAACTTTTGCCATCGAATGACTGGAAGATGGGACGAGTTTTAAAAGTATATAAGGGACATGATGACCACGTAAGAGTAGTTGATGTAAAAACTACAACAGGTATCATATCTCGTCCAATTGTTAAATTGTGTGTACTTCCAGTCAGTGGTTGTTAGTAGAAAGTAGTGTGTGTGTTTCGAAAAGATATAACTCTGACTAACATGTCATGCCTTAAATGGCACCCTTTTCGTCTGTATTGTCTTCTCTCTTTACATTAATTACAGTTGTATAATCATGAATATGGGCCAAATGGAACAATGCAGGGTGTGCTTTGGCATGCATCCATTGAGATTTTGCGCAGCCTTCAAGATGATGTCTGTGGAGCAGAGAGAGAGCGTAGTACTATCCCGAAAGTACTGCATTAATTGCTTGGGGCAAAATCATTTTGTCCGCAATTGTTTATGGCCAGGCAATTGTAGACTGTGTGGTGCTCGGCACAACACTCTGCTTCACCATTCATCGCAACCAACAAAAATAGAACGTGGCAATAACTTCATAATTGGAAACTTACCGGCAACAAAATTTCATCCATACGCCAATCAAAGGGACGCACAACGCCGACAACAACAACAAATACTAAGTGGTCTGCAAAGAAATTATACACCAGAGCAGATAAGAAATTCAACTTCACAACAAGAAGCAAAAAGACTTCAACAGGAAGCCAAAAAACTCCAGAAGAAGGCGAGGGTTCTGCAAAACCAAGCTAAAAAGATTCAGCAACAAGGCCAAATGCAGCAAAATCGAGGCAAAGAACAGACAGCCAACAAAAATCCACATTCAAAAAGTCAACTATCCAAAAAAGAGAATAAAAATCAGCAACAACAAACTGAGCAAGATCACAACATTTCGGAAGCTCAACAACAACCTGTTAGATTGGATAGGGTTTTAGATGTGCTGGAGAGGATAGCGACTGCACTATCAGTTGCACCAGTGCAAGGGGCCCGGCATGTTGGGAATCTTCCCAACCCCTTGGATGATGATATCGAAATGGACCTCATCGACCTGGATAAATAATTAATCGATGAGGTCCCATCACCACCAACAATAAAAAACCTACCACTCTTCTTCTTGAAGTAAAAAGAAATAAAAGTGTCGATCGCCAGATCTATTAAATTACGAATAAATTGACCGCCAGCGTCATACGTTTGAATTTAAAAGTTTATTTCTTTGTGTTTTATTTGCAGACAACAAACGTAAGTATCGTCAGAATACTTGTTGTGTTGTCGTAGTTTGCAAATTTATATTGTTGTCCGTCCTGTTCAACAATAATCTTCGATTCTAAATCTACTCAGTAGAATTAGAATCCCTACAAGTCCTTTCGACCGTATAGGAACTTGTACACCGATCTTAATCTGACTCAAACATGTGGGGAAGGTACAAGATGATAATAATCCTATTATGTATAAGATTTGGATGATATTGGATACTCCCTTTGAGAGTGTTTATCAGCAAAGCACACGGACATGGCTGGACCGACTTCAATCAAATGTCCTGAATCGGTTTTTATCTAAAAAGAAATGGGCCTAGAATTATTTATATGTGGCATATTTTTACCAGGTATTTTTACCAGTAAAAACTGACTGATTCTTTTCTTTAACAATTTCAAGTATCTAAAAATGTAATGTACTGTTGATGAAGACCTCCTTCCTATCAATCATATATCTATTAAAATGTACAAATTGATAAGATGGTGATAAGTTTCAAGTGTCTTTTGTATTAACTTTTACATTTATTAGTTATCTTGTTGTGTTTGCGAAATTATCGATAGAAATCACTTTTCTGCAAAAAAACAAAGCGACGATATGGAATTAATAATATATTGGATTTGTTAGGTGTGTACGGCGTTTAAATCGGATTATACAAACTTACCCTACACATAGTTAGAAGCCCTTAAAGATATTACACAATAAATTTACTTCATTGTTTTCATCCGAGAAATTTTATTTTAATATTATTACAACGAACAAGATATTACGACACTCAGTTTCATTAAATTCAATTAGTAATTCATTTAATATTAAGTATTAACTTTTTATGGGTATTTTATAGATAAAAGACCTTTCAGGTCTTATACAATGAATTTACACATTCATATCACATTTTAAAAAATTAAGTTTAGTTATACTGCAAGAATGGACAAGAAAATATTACAGACTACTTGATTTAACGAGAGTTAAAAAGATTATTTAAAACGCATTTTATAGATAGATGACCTTACAGGTCTTACACAACAATTTTGCACATTGTTTTTTCTTATCTAAAAATTGTAATTCTAATAATATTCCTCGAATTTGGAAAAGAAATGATAAAAGAATACTTCATTTTATAAAGGAGGAGTTGTAAACATTTACAAGAGTTTTATAGACAGGAGACAACATTCGACAGGCCTTCTGTGGATAAAGCTTATTTTATACGTTTTTTTTATGGATGAAAGACCTTACAGGTCTTGCACCTTAATTTTAAAAAGAAATTTAATGTTTTTTTTGTAGTCATCGAATGGACAAAAACCCATGATTGAGAAGTTTAATTCAATAATGGCCTGGATATTCCTCCATTGGCATTTACTACTTTCTGGATACTTCAAACATTATGCACTTAGCTTTAATGGCTGGTTTCTTTGTAGTTACAGGTTTTGATTCAATCGCCGTTTTTTTAACAGTTGTGGTGGTTACCGATTGGACTCTACTGGCAGCAGGGGCCTGGAATTTACAGAGATTATAAAATGTATTTTTAGTTTGTACAGTTACCGACAAAAATTGGTAAAATTCAAATTCTAATTTTGCATGAAAATGTAAATATAAGTTAAAAACTTTGTTATTATCGGTAGATCTTAGCGACTGCTTTCGTTTGTTGGGGACAAGGTGAGAACCTTTATAGTTGCGAAAAAAAAAAACTTAAATCTTAATAATATTTATCTTCAATTTCATCAAAGGAGACATTATCACCGTAACGTTGCATGGAGGGCAGTAGTAGTAAATCCCCACTGATGTCCACGAGGTTTCGAATAGCTCCTCTAATTCTGTACCACACGATTTTCGTCATTGAAGAGTTTTGAACAAATTCTCTTTGAAAACGTTGCAGTATAAGACAATGTACATATCTATCTTACCCTTTTCGTCTGACTGACAGATGATTGCATTATATTCACGTTTACAGTTGGTGTGCGCCTGGCACCGGTGGCCCCAGATCTGCCGCCATTGACTACGGTAATATTGATGGGGACCATGGCAACCTGAAAGAAAAAAAATATATATATTAGCATTTGTGTGAATTCAGAATAAAATGATGTTTCGGACATTTGAACCTGCTGCTTTCGGTTTTGGTTTTGCTGCGACCACTGACTTTTCAACCGTAACTTTGGACACTGTGGTTTTTTGGCAAGTTTTAGGAGGCATTTTTCTGAAATACAAAAAGAAAAATGTTAGTTTTTTCAATTAAATTGAAAAATGCAAGAGCTTGACTTGAATGAAACATAATTTCAGCAAGCCGTTGTCACAGGCCATAAAGCCGCCACTGCCAATGGTTATGTTAAATAGTAAAAAATATGCAGACGACCTCAATTGGGAGACAAAATCTAAACATTTAATCGTGAGATGCCAAAATGCTGGAAAAAGTATGCCAAATTTTGACTAAGCGGATGTACTGCGCCGCGGTCAACATTTGGATGAAATAATAATCAAACATTAAATTATATGGACCTACTATAAATTCAAATGGAGATTCAAAACATTTTTCTTCATATGTGATTTTTTTAACTTTTCGGAAAACTCTCGGTTTTTCCCAAAATAGGACATTTTTGACTACTGGGGGATTTAGAAATATATATATATATATATATATATATATATATATATATATATATATATATATCCAAAAAATCTATAATTTTGATAAGATAATAATAATTTTGATACATCAAATGATATATTATTCATATTGGTATAGTAGATCCGAGTTTCGGGTCAAATATCCAGGCAGAAAAACAAGTAAAAAAGCTGTAAGTTCAGTCGGGCCGAACTTTGAGAACCTCCACCATTTGAAATGAATTTGGCAATTCTCAAAAAAAAAAAAAAAAAAAAAAAGATCCATTAAAAATTCTGTTAAAATCTTAAAAATACCGAATGAAGCTGTTAGGTTCTATACGACGACATGGACCTGCATAGGTAACTTTTGTCGTAAGCCATACAATATTTAAATGCGAAATTTCAAAAATAAAATAGGTGAAAAATGTAGCTAAAATCATCAAAATTCCAAATATCGGGATGTATACGAACACCACGAAGCAGTGGACCTGCACAGATAATTTTCTGTCTTAGGCTGTAGCATCAATTACGAACATCAAATACCAAATTTGAAACAATTCCGGTTAATAATGTCGCTAAAATCAGCAAAATACCGAATATCGGGAGGTACCATTATATGGGGGCTATACGAAGACGTGGACCTGCACAGACAATTTTCTGTCTTAGGCTCTTCAAATACCAAATTTCAAACAATATCGGCGAATAATGTCGCTAAAATCATCAAGATACCGAATATCGGGAGGTACCATTTTATGGGGGCTATACGAAGACGTGGATCTACATGGCCCATTTTCAATACCAAAAGTCCTGCAGACATAACATACATTTGAGAAAAATTTTATCAATCTACTTCAATTTGTTCGGAAATATTGGATGATTTTTCAAACACAGTCTGCAGCATAAAGAAAATAAAAAAAGCTTACACAAATACTTGATTCTGTGAGCGTGTTCGTATGAGTGTTTATAGATATACAATTTCAAGCTGCAAAAAAAAAAAAAAAAAACTTCCACAATTGAATATCAAATTTAAGATAGCTGTAGTTTTATTTAAGCTTGGAAATTCCCTTAAAGTATGTACATACGTACAAATGTGGATATGAATGTGTTTTAATATATGGGCATAAGTTGAGTTTAGGGGCTATGCTTGGATTGACCTGAAATTTTTACCGCAGGTAGGTATTTGTAACCTGATTACGGCAATATAATTTTTTTGTGGGGGAAATACCCGGTTACCCGGTTATTCGGCCCAAAAGTTCGGATACAACATCCGGTTTATATCCGGTTCTACGTAACCGATATCAATAATATGGGTATCATTTGAAAGCTTATGAAAATATCTATCCAACAAGTGGTCATATGACGGGGTAATTGGAACCTGTTTCGGAGAAATTTAGGAAAATGTGCATTTTTGTATGAGTAATTTTTGAAAAACCCATAAAAACTCGAAAATGGACCCATTATAGGGTCTTAAAATCTATACACAATATTATAGCTAACACTATTGCCTTTCCAAAATGGTGTCATATGTGTTGATATCTTTTGTAGTTCCGAAGATATTGACTTTTAAAGTCGTTACTTATGAAAGCAGTTTGAGTGAACCCAAGTTTTGTGTCGGGTTTAACGTTCTTGTTAATCTGCTTTGTTTTTAATTTGGTGTTGTTAGAATGTTATGGATCGCGTAGTCGGTGTTGGACATATCCCAGAGGAGAAAATCTTAAGCCCCGGCCAAAGGCCGGCTACTTACAAAAATTACAATTTTTAGAAAAACTATGGATCGCGTAGCTGGTGTTGGACATACCCTAGAGGAGAAAATCTTAAGCCCCGACCGAAGGCCGGCTACTTACAAAAATTACAATTTTTAGAAAAACTATGGATCGCGTAGCCGGTGTTGGACATACCCTAGAGGAGAAAATCTTAAGCCCCGGCCGAAGGCCGGCTACTTACAAAATGTACAATTTTTAGAAAAACTATGGATCGCGTAGCCGGTGTTGGACATACCCCAGAGGAGAAAATCTTAAGCCCCGGCCGAAGGCCGGTTGCTTAAAAAAGCTATAAAGGTCAAAGTCAAATGCATCTAGACTGGAGAAAAATATAATTTAATGAATTCTATCTCTTATATCCACGGAACCACAAAAGATATCAACACATATGACACCATTTTGGAAAGGCAATAGTGTTAGCTATAATATAGTGTATAGATTTTAAGACCCTATAATGGGTCCGTTTTCGAGTTTTTATAGGTTTTTCAAAAAGTACTCATACAAAAATGCAAATTTTCCTAAATTTCTCCGAAACCGGTTCCAGCAACCCCGTCATATGACCACTTGTTGGATAGGTATTTTCATAAGCTTTCAAATGATACCCATTTTATTGATATCGGTTACGTAGAACCTGATACAAACCGGATGTTGTATTCGAACTTTTGGGTCGAATAACCGGGTAACCGGGTATTTCCCCCACAAAAAAATTACATTGCCGTAATCAGGTTACAAATACCTACCTGCGGTAAAAATTTCAAAACGATCCGAGCATAGCCCCTAAACTCAACTTGCTCCAATATATGTAAGTCCGGGTTCAAGATCCGGATGCACTTATCCGATATAGACAATATAGGTATCGTTGGAAGTTATAGTCAAATTATCAATTTTTTTATAAAACCCCAAAAAGGGCCCATGATGGGGGTCAATTATAGCTGACACTCTTACCTTTCCAAAATGCTACAATTTGTGCTAATACCTTTTTCGGGTCCAGAGATATGGGTTTTTCCACACCTTTCCAATCGCGACGAAGTAGGTATTGTCTATATCGGATAAGAGGAACCAGGTCTTGAAACCGGACTAGCGGGTAAAAGTCTGGGGTCCCAGGTCCGTCCTCAAAGAAAAAAAATAGTTTCCCGGAATCAGGGTAAAAATACCCACCACTAGGAACATTTTCAAAAAAAATTTGAAGTTTTTACTAGCTTTAAGCCGGATATCTATATGAACGTAATTATAGATTATTGAGAAAATAACATTATTGAATGAAATTGCATGACGCCATAAATCTAAAAATGCATAATAAAAATGCACTTCTCGGAAAAAATAGATAGAATTTAAAAGCTCAATTGCTGGTATCCAATATAAAACACGATTTGTGCTACCTACCTCACAAAGAAGTTGTCGCTTTTACTAACAGAAAACAGTTCAATACACTTAACAAATGTAAAGATTACTATTTTTTAATATTCGATTTGCAATGCGCCGCCCGCTTTGTTGCCTACTGCAATTAAAAGCTTATCACAAAATGTAACTTGAGCGTTATTTCCACTCAAACGATCTTTACAACTATTATCGATTTCTTTAATTTCGATAACAATAACTATTGGCGATAACTAACAAGGCGACAGGGTGATTCACACAGTTTTAACAAAACACACCAGGGAAATATGAACAATTTTATGCTATGGTCTCATTGCAATTTCAATTACTTTGTTCGCTCTCGGAATTAGGTACACGAATTAACCTGTTCATACGCCATGAATCGTAATTCATTGTAATATAATTTCTTCTTTTAAATGTTTATTTTGTCGATTTTAATGGAAACATGTACGAAAAAAAAAATACAAATTAGCGTTATCATTTTTAAGATAAAATGAAGATGCCATTGTGGGAAAACTGCAGTGAGTATCAGTTACTTTTACAAAAATCTTGCCATATCTCTGTAAAACAATCGCTTATTTTAATGGAAAGGTCATGGTAGAAGAATATAGGTAGACGCGTCGACACAGCTGCTGGGGCAATGAACTGTCAAACCAATTTTAGAATTGAAAATGTTGAATGAAAAATTATTTAAATTTGTAAAAATTGTTGAAAAAACGCGAATTATAATAGCCTCTGAATGATGTAGTATAAGAAATCATATAAAAATCTGCTTACATTTGAAAAAACATTTAAATTTTTTTGACATATCAATGCTCCCAAGCGTTGATGCATCTACCTGTATTCTTCTGCCATGGGAAAGGTGTAATAATGAAAATCCGATAATGTGAATTATATCTTTTACTTTTCCTAAAGTTGGGTATAACAAAACTGGACTATAAAGAAAAGATATAACAACGGACCATAATATACAGGGTGAGATGAAAAAACAACAACCAACTTCTAACTGCTGTAATTTCTAAGCCTAAAATTATTCCAGTGACACCTCATTATATTGTTTGCAAGTTATTCGTGATGGAATTCAAGCGTGATAGTGTGATTTCTTTATATTTGGCTGGAAAACCACAAGTGGCTATCGTTAGAGCACTCCAGGATTTAAATGTGAATAAACCTTTTGTGTCTCGCACCATCGCTTGTTACCGTGATACTAGTAGCGTAGCCCGACGTCAAGGAAGTGGACGCAAGGAAACAGCAACATCAGCAGAAGTGGTTCGAAAAGTAAGAAGCGATTTTATCGAAATCCGAAATGGCCAAAAAGGGCTTGTAAGCTGAACATATCGCAATATTCCATTCGGCAAATATTGAAAAATGAGCTCGGGGTAAAGTCATTAAAATTCCAAATATAGCCTCAAAAGAGCTAAAGAGTTGTTTCGCTTGGCCAAAAGTGGGAACTGCCGAATTTGGTTTTCTCCAATGAGAAAACATTCGTTGTCCAGCAGTTTGTAAACAAACAAAATTATCGTGTTTACTTGCCAAAGAGGTCAGCTGAAACTCAAGCGCCGGCCATGGAGATGGTGTGGGCCGCCATAACAGCCGATGGTCGCTCTTCGACCGTGGCATCAGAATAAATGCCGAATATTATCGCGAAAATATTCTGGAGGGTGTATTAAAGCCTTGGGCATGCAAACATTTTGGTCGCAGACCTTGGACATTCCTACAGAACTCAGCACCATCACACTCAGCACACGCCACCCAAGATTGGATACAAAATGAGGTTCCTCGCTTCATTTCCAGTACACAATAGCCACCAACATTTTCGGATACCAATCAGTTGGACTATCGTGTCTTTTAGGGCAAGGTTGGCACTAAAAAATACCAAAGTGTGATCACCTAAAGCAAGCGCTTCGCCGGGAATGGGCCAAAATACCGCAGATCAACATTCGGGCAGCGTGAAAGCCATAATTCGTGCCAAAAATGACCAATTAGAATAAATTTAAACTTATTCTAAAATTTGATGCTATTTCCGACATTCTTTGCTTTCATTCAATAAAATTTAAAAAAATAAATAAAAATTATGGCATTTGACTTTGTTGCAGTTTTTTTTTTTATCTCACCCTCTATGTTTGTATCGTTTTGAATAAAGCCATGTTTAGACTAGCCATAATAATTCGCATCTATTTTTTAATCGAGTAACGAAATTGTTACTATTAGATCATTACTAAAATTTTATAAAGGTCGACTTTTTAGCTATTATCACTTTGGCAACACTGGTTTAAACAGTTCAAGCACTTTTCGTGTTTATCTACAGTTTGGTCTATAATTTAACTATGAATAGTCTTAAAAACGAACAACGCTTGCAAATTATTAAATTTTATTTTGTTAAGCGATGAAGCTCATTTTTGTCCAATGGGTACATAAATAAACAGAGTTGTCGATTTTGTAGTGCAGATCAGCGATAAGCCTTATGAAAGTTAAATACGCATCCAGAAAGTCACTGTTTGCGGCAGGTTACGGGCTGGTGGTATCATTAGATCGTACTCCTTCAAAGATGCTGCGAAGATGTATATAAATGTTATAGATGAGTGCTACCGTGAGATGATATCCAACTTGTTTGCTTTGCTTGACTTACATAACATGTGGCTTCAACATGCTATACAGCTCAATGGACTTCCTATAGCACTTAAATTCTTAAAATCTCTTCTTCTCTGAAATTCACCTTTTACTACCTTCAGTTAATGTACCATAAGTTGTTCTATCGCTTAGTTAACTAGTCTTCGGCGAGACATGCATATTGGGCATTTACAGTTTGAGAAATACTGGCAACGCTACAAATTTCATTCACATGAACGAATATAGAGAGAGATCGATCTCACCAACATACGGCAACTCTGTTTTATTGTTTGTTTTTGTGTTTTTTTTTTCATTTCCTTTGACTGTTATTTTCGTTGGCCGTTTGTTTGCCGCTTATGGCTAGCTAGCTAGTTCTCATCATGCTTCAGTTATGGGGGAAATTAAGAGATTGGAGCTCTTTGTTGTTGTAGATCAAGCTACGAGGGAGCAGTGTTTTATTTGCGGCAGTTAGTTGTCTTATCAGTTTATGACGAGACTCCGTTCAATGCGTGTGTGCGGTACGGTAAAGGTTTGCGCGAATTTTAATAGAAAAGAAATAAAACGAAATACCTATAACGAAAGATCGATTGATTGATTTTTGTGAGAAACCTCGGTTCGATTGCAACGTCCGTGTTTACAAAATAAAATTTGAAAATATTATATAAAAGTAAAATAATTGAAAAATTTTCAATTAAATCAAGAAAAGTCATTTAGTGTTCAATTTGTGTTTTGAAACCTGCTGTGCAATTCTTTTTTTTTTTTTTTTTGCTGCCAATCGATAATAAAAGAAAGTTGCCTTTGTGCTGTCAAACACAACTTTCAATTGAAGAGATAAAGAAATAAAAGTGTGGTGGAAAAAATAACAACAATTTTGTTATTGCAATTCTATGTACCCAAATTAATTGATAATATAACAAAACAAGGTGTGTGCATATGTGTTTTATTAAAACCAAGTTATTTATTTTAGTTAACAGTGGTTTGTTAAGGGAGCCAATTGTAATGGGGAGGCTGCTCTCCTTTTTCTCCCTATAACAGTGACCTGTGTTATTTTGTTGTTGTTATTATTTAAGTTGAGATTGTTAAAGGGGAGTAAATGTGAAGTTCTCTTTAGTCTGTGTTTTGATTAGGGGAAAAATCACCTTTTAATACTTTGACAGTGTTTTTTTTTCATACTACATTTTAATGAATGTTAATTATAATGGAAAATAATGTTAAATAAAACACACAAAATAACAATAGCTTCGGCGGCAACAAGTGAAATAACAACAGCAACAACAATTTAAAAATAAAAAAAAAAAAACAACAACAGTCAGTCATTGATACAATTGCCGCCAACTAAAATAATCCAAGTGAGCACCCGTCAATGGTGGATCAAAATAAATTTGGTGTTGTTTTAATGCGCGTATGTGTGTGTGTGAGTGTGTGCATTCGTGTGTACCTTAATTTCAGCAATGGATTAATGCTTCACTGATTTTTGTTAAAGCAAGTAACTATATTTTTTTGAAAAAAAAAAAAAAAAAAATAGTAATAATAAAATTTGTTATTTACCCGTTCACATGCGGATTACGGCGACGGCTTGCGACTTGCAAAAATTTCCCCTGACCATCAATGTTTAATTAACACCTTCAACATGGAAGTTAAATTTGAAAATTCAATTGAATTTTAAGTAGGGGTATTAATTCAGTCAACTATGGTATCGGCCAAAACCAATGCACGCAGGCAGATTCTTGATATTATATATTGGAATATCTCTAGTTTAGTAAAAACTCTCGGATTTTTTGAATTTGAAGCTACTGAAAATATCTATACCTATTTGAAAGCTAATGAAAATACCTATCTAACAAGTAGTTATTTATTGATTTTTGGACCTGATTTTTTATAAAACCCAAAATAGGGCCATTATGGGAGTCCATAAAATTTATAGCAAATTATAGCTTTCCAAAATGCTAAAATATGTGCTATTATATTTCCTGGATCCAGAGATATGGGTCTCTGAATACCCGAGTTCCACTGATCCTTAGACTGACGAGGGGATGTTTTGGCCTTCCAAAAATAGTCAAACCTCTGTGCTAGTCCTCACATAAAGAGGACTCTCTAACGCTGGGATGTTGTCCGACCACGTGCCCATCAGTGTTACAGGTTCGTAGTCATTGTTCCGACTGTATTCTTACGGCAGTATTCGTTGATACCTGAGTGCCTCAACGAATATTAGGTGTGTAACCAAGTTCTTATTACTGTGTGGAGGCTATGCCATGGTCGACCTAAGTCTCTTCAGAAGACAATAACAAAAAACAAAACGATCCTCAACGAATATTAGGTGTAGTTACAGAGTTCTTATCACTGTACGGAGGCTATGCCAAGGTCGACCTAAGTCCCTTCAGAAGACAATGACAAAAAACAAAACGATCCTATTTCGACTGGTGGCACCTTCAGTCAACAAAGCTAAAAGTGCGAAGTTTACCTCCACCTCAACAAAAATCACCTTAAGAGAGGGCAGTGATTCAGGATCGTCTGCTATCACTAGCAGGGTGAAGCGGAAGGAAGACCTGGGAGGATATTATCGGTTTTCTGCTGCAATTTTTGTTATCTATTGGGAGTATTGAACATCAGATTTGAGAAAATTCTGTTACAAAATGTGGTTTAAATTGTTTGAATATCCGATATCAGGAGTTACCATTACATGGAGGCTATACGAAAATTGGAGCCTTCTATCTCAATTCGTGTGAAATATATCGTTATTGCAAACAGACCCCCAAAGAATTCGCTCGAATTCGACTAAAGAGTGGAACTCGATCGAATTCTAACGGGAGCACTCCTGGGAGTGGGAAAGACAAGACGAGCAAAACTCTAATTTTGGTTTCCTGTGTTTTTCTCTCCTTCGATTGTTACTTGGAGCAAACTCTCACTCTATCTCGAGATATTTGGCTCTCACTTTTAAACAGGAGTGCCTCAGAGGAGTAAACTCTGTAAAAACTCTCACTCTTTCCTGTTAGCGAGCAATTTTCACTTCCGCAAATATGTGCTCTGACAGACAGACAGATATCACTGAATCGACTTAGAATCTTACGTCGATCAAGAATAAATGTAATTTTGTAGGGTCTACAGGGTGAGATAAAAAAAACTGCAACAAAGTCAAACGCCATCATTTTTACATATTTTTTTTTTAAATTTTATTGAATGAAAGCGAAAAATGTCGGAAATAGCATCAAAATTTAGAATAAATTTAGATTTGTTCGAATTGGTCACCGTTGGCACGAATTATGGCCTTCAAACGGCCAATGAAACCATCACACGCTGTCCGAATGTTGCTCTGCGGTATTTTGGCCCATTCCCGCCTAAGTGCTTGCATGAGGTGATCGACACTTTGGTATTTTTTAGTGCCTACCTTGCTTTCTTAAATACTCTAGACACAATAGTCCAACGGATTGGTATCCGGAGATTTTGGTGGCCATTGTGCGTTGGAAATGAAGCAAGGAACCTCAGTTTGTAACCATTCTTGGGTGGGGTGTGCTGAGTCCTGTTAGAATGTCCAAGGTCTTCGGCCAAAATGTTTGCGTGCCCAAGGCTTTGATACACCCTCCAGAATATTTTCGCGATAATATTCGGCATTTATTCTGATGCCACGGTCGATTAATACAAGCGGAGGGCGACCATCGGCTGTTATGGCGGCCCACACCATCACCATGGCCGGATTGAGGCTTGAGTCCTGGTGGCCAACCGAAGGTGCACATTTTCAGCTGACCTCTTTGGCAAGTAAACGCGATCATTTTGTTTGTTTACAAACTGCTGGACAAAGAATGTTTTTCCATCGGAGAAAACCAAATTCGGCAGTTCACCACTTTCGGGTAAGCAAAGCAACTCGTTTAGCTCGTTTGAGTCTATTTTCCTTCTGTTGCGGTGTAAGTTTTTGCACTTTTTGGAATTTTAATGGCTTTACCCCGAGCTCATTTTTCAATATTTGCCGAATGGAATATTGCGATATGTTCAGCTCACAAGCCATTTTTCGGCCACTGCGATGCGGGTTTCGATCAGGTCCCTTCTTTACTTTTCGAACCATTTCTGCTGATGTTGCTGTTTTCTTCCATCCACTTCCTACGCTACCAGTATCACGGTAACGAGCGACGGTACGAGACGCAAAAGATTTATTTACATTTAAATGCTGGAGTGCTCTACCGATAGCCACTTGTGGTTTTCCAGCCAAACGTAAAGAAATTACACAATCGCGCTTGAATTTCATCACGAATAACATTTTTTCTGGAAAATTCTCACTAAAATGCTTTTGAACGCTTGTAAACAATATAATGAGCTGTCACTGGAATAATTTTAACAGCTGTCGGACTAGTGGCCTAGAAATGAAAGCAGTCTGATGTCTCACCCTGTACGGTGGTGCATAATTTATAGGTTCTGATGAGAAGTCGTGAGTTATTAAGTTCAAGACCAGACCTTATGGTCTATTGATAAACATTGTCCAGAGCTGACTGCAGTTTATTAAAGACTCAGCTATATCCTGTCCTCTCGTCTGCAAAAGTTCCGATGTCATAACTGTATAGAGTGTAAAGAATTGATCCCTGTGCTGCCCTTGATGTTATTCGGTTCAAGTCAGAGTATTCAATGTCATATATGATTCTAAGGAGTTTATATTTAAGATATGATGAGATGTCTACATAGGTTGGTGGTAGAATAATTCCTGTGACATATCCAGGAATATAGCTGAACATATCAGCTTGTTTTCGAATGCATTTTCGATCGTTTGTGCAAAACTGTTCACTTCTACAATAGTTGATTTTTTTTTTGTGAAAACCAAATTGGTGCCCGTTTTATAGCAATGTTATGGGCCAATAGCAATTAATATCGTTTGGATTTCTTCCTGGTTTGGCTCTAATAATAACTTCTGACCGGATATATTTCAGTTTTAAAACAGAGTTCATTATAATATTTACTTTCGCTATTCCTCCATGGTATGATAAATGCTTAATCATGGTTCCCTTTATTAAATCGAATCCAGCAGATTTCTTGCTATCGCCTTCCATATTTCTTCGAATTCGAAAATTTCTTCTACACGAGCTGGACTTATCATTTGGTTACTTTGAAGGATTCAGCAAATGTTTTGTGCCTCTTCTTTATTACTTTTTACCCACTAAACATTGTCCTGAAAAATAGTAGCTGTTTGAGGCACTGGCCCAGTTTAAAAATGTCACACATGTCATTTTAATAAGAAAATCTCCTGGTTTCTGGTATTTTGACTGGTTTCATCACATTTTCGTTAAAATTAGCCTCTATTTGGCTCTTAAAGTTCTCAATAGGCATCTGAGTAATTTCCTGTCCTTCTACTGCTGGATTTTGCTTCAAAGTTTTAGGGGGTTTCAACACGTTTCTAACATAAGTACGTACGTCCAAAATGCTATCGATCGATGGATGGAATGTCGCTGTCAACATT